TTCAGTCTTTCACTGTTGGCGTCATTTATTCACGTCAAACGAGTCAAACGATTTGTCTAGTCAGCATCCCTATGTTTCACTTAGTCAATTCAGACTACATCGACGTTTTTGACGATAAACAACTAAATCATTAGTCGCTTCATAGCAAGGCATCAGTTCATTCAACATGTTCGAGATGTCTATAGCTTTTAACAAATAGGTTCTTCGAACAAATCATCTATACGTAGTAAAGAGTAGCGATTCTTGATCGTCAGTTTGTCCATCATTCTTAACAGGGATGTGATAGTATCTTGACCGTAAGTCAATCTTAGAGAATACAATGGATCCTCTAAGCTGATCAAATAAGTCATGACACAAAGTAAAGGATAACGAATTGTTCAACTGATAGTAGTTGATATAGAGTCTCATTGATTCTTCCTTATTCACGTTTGAACAGAACAGATACTCTCCGATAAAGGAAACACTTTGTCAGATGATTCCTTCTTAGGCAATCTTCATAGTTGAGTTTTTTTTTTCAACGGAAACATATTCAATACAGAGTTACGAATATTGGTCCTCTCAAGGATCAAGATTGACAGAGTTTTCAATTTCTTGGAACGGTGAAATATAAGGAAGTTCATATCAGAGGGGTGACATACTTTCGGTACATTCCTTCAGCTTAGATGTTTCTTTTTGGGTATCGCACGAATAGACTTCACACTTGAGATGTTTTCGTATATATATTCGAGATGAACTCGGTTGGTTTAAAAATCAGCTTTGCTTTCACCTCCTATGATGTTACCATCATTGGCCTTCAGTTGAGGAATTCTTCATCACAAGTTGTCAACAACGACGACGTTCAGTCAGTCAGTGCATACTAAGGATAATGTCGATTTCCTTGTATGGTACTTCAACGAGGTTTTGTAAGGAATTGTCGTTTAACGAACGATTTCGATTCATAAGATGTAATCACATCTTTGCGTCGTAAAGAGTTAGACATCAGAACAGGATACTTTAGATAATAGAGTTTATTGATTCTAAACATTCGTGTTTGAATCAGCGATTAGATCGCCTTGAGTCCACATGAGGATCTTTGACATCAGCTTCACAGATGTTTCTCAACATATATCAACACGAATCGTTCTTCAGGTTCATCTCACTTTCGTGCGACTTTTCTTGTACAGATCAACTTCGTCATTCACGATGCGAAGCGTACGTTGATAACATATCAGAGGTTCATACATTTTTTTTATTCTTTTGTTTCTTTACCGAATACGAAAATTCGACTTGAGTCTATGCTCGAAATAATTTCAGTACTAACAATTGTTATCAAATGAGAATTTTAACAAGTCAATATTTACTAAGTAAATTCTCATACCTTTCCTAGGGCAGAGGGATGCGAGAGTCGTGGATGTGACTGACACATTTTTTTTTAATTCAAATTTTGATCCGAAGATCGGTTTTAAAACCATTTGCTCCGATACCAAATTGTAACACCCTAATCCGTCCAGAACTGCAGCCCCTTTCAGACTAAAGTATTAACTTGGTAATCGTAAAATTTAAAACTTTTCAAACACTTTTATTCATCACGATAATATTTTTCATAACATATACAGTGCGGAGTTTTCAATATTGCGGAAGCTTAACAAATCATAATTACAAACATAATTTATTTATGTTCTTTAATTCAAAACCATCACATCCATTCCGACAATCTCGCCTCCATCTGCCTCCAGAATCATGTCACATCATTCTTTCTATTAACCTGCGTGTAGCAAATAAAACATACTACACGCTCAGCGGTGAATCTGAGTAAGCATATCTAATGCGTCGAACATCCATATAAATTGAATCCAAATTCATAATCAAATCATTTGATATCATGCACAGAGTATTCAGTTCAAATATACAATAATCAATATTCAACATTCGTCATTCAATATTCATATTCAACATTCAACATCCTCATTCAATAATATCCTTAAACTATTCTTAGTCTAAGGCCAAT